ACTCCCTCCGCCGCCTCCACCGCCTCCTCCACCGCCCCCGCCAGTTCCACCCGCGCCCTTGCCCCCCTTGCCCCTGCCAGGGCGGCGTCTCCCGCTAGGGGCAGACGCCGCGCAGACCGACTCAAGACCAAGCAGGTCGGCAGCAGCAGCAGAGGCAACAGAGGGCAGCAGGGGGGAAGGAGAACACCCCTCAAAGATGGGGGTGCGAGGGTCACCACGAGAGGCTCCTACAGCGACGATGCTCTTCTCCGCCGCCAGGAGGGACTTCTCGAGGAGGTCGACAGTGAGAGTGGTGGGACAGACTGAGAGGAAGTGGTCCCTGACTACGCGAAGGGAGTCAGGGAGGCGTGTGACTATGTAATAGAGAGTGATGTACATGGGGGGGGGGTTCTTGGCGCAGAACTCAGCAGGAAGGGCGGCGCGGTAGCGAGTGTCACTAGTGCGGAGGTGCGTAATGAGGTCAGCGACAGTGGGAAAGGCAGCAAGGTCAGGAAAGAGGTACGGTAGCATGAGGCGGCTCAGGGCAGCAGTGGCAGGGGAAGAGTAGCGCGCAACTACAGCGTCGTACAAGGTCTGAGCACTCTTGTACTGACTAAAGTGCGCGCGCTCAGTGGTAGGCAGGTGGCGACGCACAGCAAGACGTGCAGCAGCATCGCGGGTGGCCCACTGAGAGCGAACAGTGGGGTCAGCATCAGCAGCAGGGGCAGGAGAGGCGCCAGAGGTGAGGTCAAAGAGGGAAAGACTGTCCGCCCTATCGCACTGTAAGAACAGCTGCAGGTCGTCGACCCAGACCTCAAAGTCAATGGCTCGACCCTCAGCGTCAAAAGCGAGGACACTAGGGGTAGCCATGACGACGACAGTGTAGTAGTGCAAGCAGTAGGGGAAGGGCACGCAGTAACAGTGGTGCTGTGCTCACCAGGCAGGGCAGGTCGGGCGGCTCGGCAGTAGGGCGGCCCGGCGGCTGGGCGGCTCGGCGGCTCGGCTGCTGGGCGGCTCGGCTCCCAGGCGGCTCGGCGGCAGGGCGGCTCGGCGGCAGGGCGGCTCGGCGGCAGGGCGGCTCGGCGGCTCGGCTCCCGGGCGGCTCGGCGGCAGGGCGGCTCGGCGTCAGGGCGGCTCGGCTCCCGGGCGGCTCGGCTGCTGGGCGGCTCGGCGGCAGGGCGGCTCGGCGGTCGTAGGCGGCGGGGCCGGTGAGGATAGGCGGCGGGGCCGGTACCGTAGGCGGCGGGGCCGCGAAGTGGGGCGGCGGGGCCGCGTAGGTGAGGGCGGCGGGGCCGCGAAGTGAGGGCGGCGGGGCCGCGACGTGAGGGCGGCGGGGCCGCGAAGGTGAGGGCGGCGGGGCCGCGTAGGCAAGGGCGGCGAGGCCGCGACGTGAGGGCGGCGGGGCCGCGACGTGAGGGCGGCGGGGCCGCGTAGGTGAGGGCGGCGGGGCCGCGTAGGCAAGGGCGGTGGGGCCGCGACGTGAGGGCGGCGGGGCCGCGACGTGAGGGCGGCGGGGCCGCGACTTAAGGGCGGCGGGGCCGCGTAGGTGAGGGCGGCGGGGCCGCGACGTGAGGGCGGCGGGGCCGCGACGTGAGGGCGGCGGTGTTAAAGTTTAAAAGAAAGAAGAGGATTGCACTAGCAAGAATGAGGATACAAATAGCAAACCCTAGAAGGGTTGTACTCGCTATAGAGCACCCCACTACAGGCTAGAGCATAAGATAACATTCTGACACACCCCCATAGCCAAAGTGGGGTGTAATCAGCAGAGTAAGCAAAGGAGTACAAGCTCAGGGTGGATCACAATGTCACCACACATTCTGAGCACAAGTTCAAGAAGCAATAGTTTAAGTTCACAATTATGAGCAAAGCTAGTGGTAGTCACAACGGGCAAGTGAGGAGGAGGAGAGAGAGTGAGAGGAGAGGAGATAGGAGGCGACGGCTGAAGCTGCAGACACACAGGCAACAGGAGGCAGACTGGCACAGCGGCTACCGGACGAAGTCCCCGGAATACAGGAGTAACAGGCCCCGCGGCTAAAGTAGCGGCAGACGAGCAACGGACCCACGGGCGGCTGGCACAGCTGGCTACGACTGGGCTACCGGACGAAGTCCCCGGAATACAGGTGCTGCTGGCGACACGACGGCAACCTCCATTCAGCTTCCCCAAACTATCCCACTCCCCCCTGGCACATACCCGCTGCTACACCGCTAGCTCCACTCCCCCTTCACCCCCCCTTAGTACCACTCCACCGGCTCCAACACGTCCACCCCCCCTCAGCGGCAGCTGCAGCACAGGGAGACGGAGGAGGAGGAGGAGCAGGGAACAGTACACAGTGGGTGCACCCCCATACCCCGCACCCCCAAACCCTAATACAGGAGAATGGGGAGTAGGAGGGGTGGGGCACGAGTAGAAGCGCTGGGGGACAGTAGGGAGGGCAGGGGCAGCAAGGAGCGGGCCCACCACGGGCCTGGTAGGGTCGCCCGAACCGCGCGTAGGCGGCCTGAGCCGCGCGCGGGCCTGGCGCCGCCCGTACGGGCCGCGCGCGGGCCTGGCGCAGCCCGTACGGGTCGCGCGCTGCCTGTACGGGCCGCGCGCAGGCCACGACGGGCGACGGGGGGCGACGAACGGGTCCCCGTCGCCCGTCGCGGCGCCTCCCGAGGGCGACGCGACGGTTGACGGGGCCGAAGCCCGCCGCGCGCCTCGGGGCGCACAGCGGGCAGAGAACCGCCGCGCGCCTCGGGGCGCACGGCGGGCAGAAAACCGCCGCGCGCCTCGGGGCGCACGGCGGGAAGAAAACCGCCGCGCGCCTCGGGGCGCACGGCGGGAAGAAAACTGCCACACGCCACGGGGCGTGCGGCACCGAGTGTAGTGGTAGGAGTTGCAGCGGAAGCTAGGAGGTGGTAAGCCCACCCACAGGATCGATCCAAGGGGATACTCAGAGCAGGTCGATCCCCTTGGATCGATCCTGTGGGTGGGCTTACCACCTCCTAGCTTCCGCTGCAACTCCTACCACTACACTCGGTGCCGCACGCCCCGTGGCGTGTGGCAGTTTTCTTCCCGCCGTGCGCCCCGAGGCGCGCGGCGGTTTTCTTCCCGCCGTGCGCCCCGAGGCGCGCGGCGGTTTTCTGCCCGCCGTGCGCCCCGAGGCGCGCGGCGGTTCTCTGCCCGCTGTGCGCCCCGAGGCGCGCGGCGGGCTTCGGCCCCGTCAACCGTCGCGTCGCCCTCGGGAGGCGCCGCGACGGGCGACGGGGACCCGTTCGTCGCCCCCCGTCGCCCGTCGTGGCCTGCGCGCGGCCCGTACAGGCAGCGCGCGACCCGTACGGGCTGCGCCAGGCCCGCGCGCGGCCCGTACGGGCGGCGCCAGGCCCGCGCGCGGCTCAGGCCGCCTACGCGCGGTTCGGGCGACCCTACCAGGCCCGTGGTGGGCCCGCTCCTTGCTGCCCCTGCCCTCCCTACTGTCCCCCAGCGCTTCTACTCGTGCCCCACCCCTCCTACTCCCCATTCTCCTGTATTAGGGTTTGGGGGTGCGGGGTATGGGGGTGCACCCACTGTGTACTGTTCCCTGCTCCTCCTCCTCCTCCGTCTCCCTGTGCTGCAGCTGCCGCTGAGGGGGGGTGGACGTGTTGGAGCCGGTGGAGTGGTACTAAGGGGGGGTGAAGGGGGAGTGGAGCTAGCGGTGTAGCAGCGGGTATGTGCCAGGGGGGAGTGGGATAGTTTGGGGAAGCTGAATGGAGGTTGCCGTCGTGTCGCCAGCAGCACCTGTATTCCGGGGACTTCGTCCGGTAGCCCAGTCGTAGCCAGCTGTGCCAGCCGCCCGTGGGTCCGTTGCTCGTCTGCCGCTACTTTAGCCGCGGGGCCTGTTACTCCTGTATTCCGGGGACTTCGTCCGGTAGCCGCTGTGCCAGTCTGCCTCCTGTTGCCTGTGTGTCTGCAGCTTCAGCCGTCGCCTCCTATCTCCTCTCCTCTCACTCTCTCTCCTCCTCCTCACTTGCCCGTTGTGACTACCACTAGCTTTGCTCATAATTGTGAACTTAAACTATTGCTTCTTGAACTTGTGCTCAGAATGTGTGGTGACATTGTGATCCACCCTGAGCTTGTACTCCTTTGCTTACTCTGCTGATTACACCCCACTTTGGCTATGGGGGTGTGTCAGAATGTTATCTTATGCTCTAGCCTGTAGTGGGGTGCTCTATAGCGAGTACAACCCTTCTAGGGTTTGCTATTTGTATCCTCATTCTTGCTAGTGCAATCCTCTTCTTTCTTTTAAACTTTAACACCGCCGCCCTCACGTCGCGGCCCCGCCGCCCTCACGTCGCGGCCCCGCCGCCCTCACCTACGCGGCCCCGCCGCCCTTAAGTCGCGGCCCCGCCGCCCTCACGTCGCGGCCCCGCCGCCCTCACGTCGCGGCCCCACCGCCCTTGCCTACGCGGCCCCGCCGCCCTCACCTACGCGGCCCCGCCGCCCTCACGTCGCGGCCCCGCCGCCCTCACGTCGCGGCCTCGCCGCCCTTGCCTACGCGGCCCCGCCGCCCTCACCTTCGCGGCCCCGCCGCCCTCACGTCGCGGCCCCGCCGCCCTCACTTCGCGGCCCCGCCGCCCTCACCTACGCGGCCCCGCCGCCCCACTTCGCGGCCCCGCCGCCTACGGTACCGGCCCCGCCGCCTATCCTCACCGGCCCCGCCGCCTACGACCGCCGAGCCGCCCTGCCGCCGAGCCGCCCAGCAGCCGAGCCGCCCGGGAGCCGAGCCGCCCTGACGCCGAGCCGCCCTGCCGCCGAGCCGCCCGGGAGCCGAGCCGCCGAGCCGCCCTGCCGCCGAGCCGCCCTGCCGCCGAGCCGCCCTGCCGCCGAGCCGCCTGGGAGCCGAGCCGCCCAGCAGCCGAGCCGCCGAGCCGCCCAGCCGCCGGGCCGCCCTACTGCCGAGCCGCCCGACCTGCCCTGCCTGGTGAGCACAGCACCACTGTTACTGCGTGCCCTTCCCCTACTGCTTGCACTACTACACTGTCGTCGTCATGGCTACCCCTAGTGTCCTCGCTTTTGACGCTGAGGGTCGAGCCATTGACTTTGAGGTCTGGGTCGACGACCTGCAGCTGTTCTTACAGTGCGATAGGGCGGACAGTCTTTCCCTCTTTGACCTCACCTCTGGCGCCTCTCCTGCCCCTGCTGCTGATGCTGACCCCACTGTTCGCTCTCAGTGGGCCACCCGCGATGCTGCTGCACGTCTTGCTGTGCGTCGCCACCTGCCTACCACTGAGCGCGCGCACTTTAGTCAGTACAAGAGTGCTCAGACCTTGTACGACGCTGTAGTTGCGCGCTACTCTTCCCCTGCCACTGCTGCCCTGAGCCGCCTCATGCTACCGTACCTCTTTCCTGACCTTGCTGCCTTTCCCACTGTCGCTGACCTCATTACGCACCTCCGCACTAGTGACACTCGCTACCGCGCCGCCCTTCCTGCTGAGTTCTGCGCCAAGAACCCCCCCCCCATGTACATCACTCTCTATTACATAGTCACACGCCTCCCTGACTCCCTTCGCGTAGTCAGGGACCACTTCCTCTCAGTCTGTCCCACCACTCTCACTGTCGACCTCCTCGAGAAGTCCCTCCTGGCGGCGGAGAAGAGCATCGTCGCTGTAGGAGCCTCTCGTGGTGACCCTCGCACCCCCATCTTTGAGGGGTGTTCTCCTTCCCCCCTGCTGCCCTCTGTTGCCTCTGCTGCTGCTGCCGACCTGCTTGGTCTTGAGTCGGTCTGCGCGGCGTCTGCCCCTAGCGGGAGACGCCGCCCTGGCAGGGGCAAGGGGGGCAAGGGCGCGGGTGGAACTGGCGGGGGCGGTGGAGGAGGCGGTGGAGGCGGCGGAGGGAGTGGGGGTGGCGGTGGGAGTGGTGGCGGGGGCGGTGGGGGCGGTGGCAGCAGCGGAGGAGGAGGCGGTGGTGGCGGCAGCGGTGGGAGCGGAGGCAGCGGTGGTGGTGGAGGTGGAGGCGGCGGTGGCGGAGGGGGTGGAGCTGGTCGGGGTGGTGCCCCGCAGCGTAGCGGCTCTGGTGGTGGCCAGCGTCAGCAGCAGCAGCAGCAGCAGCGTTCGCGGGACATCCCCCCGCCCCAGCAGCTCCGTGAGTGGTACACGCAGCGTCAGCGGGGTGGGGGTTTTTGTCCGTGCACCTACGTCCTTCGTTCCGGCGACCGCGCGGGTGAGCAGTGTGGGGGTGCCCACCCCACCCAGCGCTGCTTTGGCCGCCTGACGGACGCTTGGCGTCAGCAGTTCCCCGAGGCTAGTGAGATTCCCCGTTGGGGAGAGCTGTCTAGGGCTGGCGTAGCTATCTTTGATCTTGACTTTGATGCTATCCTTGCTGCCATGTATGCTGTGACTATTAGTGAGGAGGGTGACTGTTACCGGTGTTTCCCGCCCGACCCGGGCATTGGTACTGCTGCGCTAGGTACTTCTGCGGCTGCTGCTCTAGGTGCCAGTGCGTCTGCACTCTCAGGTACTGGTGAGGCTGCGCTCTCAGGTACTGCGTCGGCTTCGGCCTCCCTCACCTTCACGCTTGACTCAGGGGCTTCTCGCTCCTTCTTTCGAGACCGCACCACACTCACGCCGCTTGGCCGGCCGGTTGCAGTCTCCCTGGCTGACCCCTCTGGGGGTCCTGTCCTCTCTCACTTCTCCACTGTCCTCCCGTGTCCGGCTGCCCCCTCGGGCACCTTGTCTGGTCTGTACCTCCCCTCGTTCTCGACGAACTTGGTGAGTGGTGCTGACCTGCAGGATGCGGGGGTTCACCAGTTTACTCCTGCGAGTCAGCGGGTGACCCACTGCTCGGACGCCCGCACAGGCCGACACCTGGCCACGTTTTCGCGTCGGCCGGGGTCGAGTCTCTACACCCTGACCACTGAGTCTCCTCCTGTCCCTGCGTCTGGCCAGTTAGCTGCGTCGGGTCAGGTGTTTGCTGCTGCGTCCAGGTCTGGTCCTGAGTCTGCCCCCTGCTCGTGTCGCCGCCTGTCTCAGGAGACTCTCCTGTGGCACCACCGTCTTGGCCACCCCTCCTTGCCTCGTCTTCGGGGCATGGCTTCCCGTGTCCTTGTCTCTGGTCTTCCCCGGTCTCTCCCTCCCCTTCCTTCGGGACCCGGACCTTCCTGTGTCCCCTGTGTCGAGGGGCGGCTCCGGGCTGCCCCTCACTCCTCCCAGTTTCCCCCGACAGAGGCTCCTCTGCAGACGCTTCACATGGACGTGTGGGGCCCGGCCCGCGTCCGTGGGCAGGGTCACGAGCGCTACTTCCTGCTGGTGGTTGACGACTACTCGCGTTACACCACAGTCTTCCCCTTGCGCAGCAAGGGTGATGTCACTGAGGTGTTGATCGACTGGATCCGCGCAGCTCGTCTCCAGCTCAGGAGGAGCTTCGGCTCGGACTTTCCTGTTCTGCGTCTGCACTCTGACCGAGGTGGAGAGTTCTCCTCTGGCCTTCTGCGAGCCTACTGTCGTGCACGAGGCATCCGCCAGACCTTTACGCTTCCGGACTCTCCACAGCAAAATGGGATTGCTGAGCGCCGCATTGGCATGGTCATGGACGTCGCTCGTACGTCCATGATGCATGCGGCTGCCCCCCATTTTCTGTGGCCGTTTGCGGTTCGGTACGCGGCGCATCAGATCAACCTTCACCCCAGGGTCTCCCGGCCGGAGACCTCCCCAGCTCTGCTGTGGACGGGGAAGGTCGGCGATGCGTCTGCGTTCCGTGTCTGGGGATCTCGGGCGTTTGTCCGCGACTTGTCTGCGGACAAGCTGTCCCCTCGTGCTGCTCCCTGTGTCTTCCTCGGCTTCCCCCCTGACGCCCCAGGGTGGCAGTTCTACCACCCCTCCTCTCGTCGTGTTCTGTCCTCCCAGGACGTCACGTTCGACGAGTCAGTCCCCTTCTACCGCCTCTTCCCCTACCGCACTCCTTCCCTCCCCCCGCCACCGCACTTCCTTGTGCCAGGTCCCCCCCCGGTAGACCCCCTTCCCCCTCAGGGTCCTGCCCCTTCAGGTGTGTCCCAGGTAGACGCAGTCGAGCCGGTCGAGGTTGCTGGTGACTCTGGTCCTGCTGCGGGTGCTGAGCCTGGGGGTGCTGACTCTGGGGGTGCTACGCGCGTGGGTGCTGAGCCTGGGGGTGCTGAGCCTGGGGGTGCTGAGTCTGGGGGTGCTGAGCCTGGGGGTACTGTGACTGGGGGTGCTGAGCCTGGGGGTGCGGAGTCTGGGGGTGCTGAGCCTGGGGGTGCTGCGACTGGGGGTGCTGAGCCAGGGGGTGCTGCGTCTGGAGCTGCTGAGCCTGGAGCTGCGGAGCCTGCGGCCACTGGACCTCCCCTTGTGGCGTCTGGCGGTGCGGGACCTGGCGGTTCTCCGGGTGCTTCGCCTCGGCGGGAGCCCCTCTCTCCACAGGAGCTGCGCGAGTGGTTTGCTCGCCGCTGGAGACGTACTGCTGGAGCTGGAGCTCCTTCGACTGCTGAGGGTACTTGTGCCGCTGGTCCCGGAGCTGCTGGGCCCTCGGGTCCGCCTGGAGCTGGAGCTGCTGCGGGTGTTGGTGCTGAGACTGCTGCTGTCCTTCCTGGCGGTGGTCCTGCTGCGGGTGCTGCTGGTGCTGCTGGAGGTCCTGCCGCTGGAGGTGCTGTTGGCGCTGGTGCTGCTGCTGAGGGTGCTGTCCCTGCTGTGTCTGGAGTCGCCGCGCGGCCTCGGCCGTACTTCGTTCCACTCCTACAGCAGGTTCTTGGTCTTTCTCCTCCTGCAGCGTGTCCACCGCCTGTTCAGTCACAGTCCCAGTTAGAGCCCGCCTCCCCACTTCCTGCTCCCTCTCCTTACACTGGTCCCACTGGAGGTCTTGCTGAGCGTCGTGAGCCTGCGTCTCGTCCTGCGTCGCCTGTTCGTGCTGCTCGCGCTAGTGGTCGCGGTTCGCGTCAGCGTCCTCCTCCTGTCCCTGGCACGCACCGGATGTCTTTGCGTCCGTCCACTGCTCCTCTGCGTGCCCCTTTGCCTTCTCCTCCTGAGTCCTCCCTTCCTGCACTTACCGACCCAGAGTCCGACTCTCTTCGTGCTGCTAGTCCTACTGTCACACGTCTCCTTGCTACTGTCGTCACTGACCCCTCTTTTGAGTCCACTGCTGCGTCTGCGCTTGCTGCTGAGCTCGTCGACTTTGCTGCTCGCTGTCGTCTAGACTACGCTGCCGGTCTTGTTACTGAGTCTGCGTCTGTCTGTCCTCCGTCCGTCGGGGGTGAGTGTGCTCTTGGCACGGACGTCCTTGAGGACAGGCAGGAGGAGTTCCAGTGTCTGGCTGCTGCTTCACCTCATCTCGCGTCCGTACTACTTGCCCCTGAGGGAGACCCGGATGCACTAGACATCCCGACTCCGCGCTCTTACGCGGAGGCCGTAGAGGGTCCCTACTCCTCTCAGTGGCAGGCAGCTATGGATGCAGAGATGGCGTCCTGGAAGTCCACAGGCACCTACGTTGACGCGGTGCCCCCTCCTGGGGCGAACATCGTCAGTGGCATGTGGATCTTCAGGGTGAAGCGGCCGCCGGGCTCTCCACCTGTCTTCAAGGCGCGGTACGTCGCTCGTGGCTTCAGTCAGCGGCAGGGAGTTGACTACTTTCAGACCTTCTCTCCCACCCCGAAGATGACCACTCTTCGGGTGCTGCTGCACATAGCCGCTCAGCGCGACTACGAGCTCCACTCTCTTGACTTCAGCACTGCTTTCTTGCAGGGTAGCCTGCACGAGGAGATCTGGCTGCGCCGTCCACCTGGCTTCACTGGGACTTTCCCTCCTGGCACCCAGTGGAGCCTCCGACGGCCAGTCTACGGTCTCCGCCAGGCACCGCGTGAGTGGCACGACACACTGAGGACTACGCTTGCGGCTCTTGGGTTTGCTCCCTCTACTGCTGACCCGTCGTTGTTTCTGCGCACCGACACTTCTTTGCCGCCGTTCTACATCCTCGTGTACGTCGACGACTTGGTCTTTGCCACAGCTGACACTGCTGGACTAGCCTACGTGAAGTCCGAGCTGCAGAAGAGACACACGTGCACAGACCTGGGTGAACTGCGCAGCTACCTTGGCTTGCAGATCACTCGGGACAGAGCACGCCGCACCATTACCTTGACTCAGTCACACATGGTGCAGCAGGTCCTTCAGCGCTTCGGCTTCACGTACTCCTCGCCTCAGGCCACTCCTCTGTCTACTCGCCACTCGCTCTCAGCTCTGCCTTCGGATGAGTCCGTAGAGTCGAGTGGCCCGTACCCAGAGCTTGTTGGCTGCCTCATGTACCTGATGACCTGCACACGACCTGACCTTGCATACCCTCTTAGCATTCTTGCACGCTATGTTGCTCCTGGGAGACACCGACCAGAGCACATGGCTGCAGCGAAGAGGGTGTTGCGCTACTTGTGCAGTACGTCGGGCATGGGGCTAGTGCTTGGAGGGCGGAGTCCAGTGGTCCTCACTGGGCACGCGGACGCTTCTTGGGCTGACGACCAGGCTACGCAGCGGTCGTCGCAGGGTTACACCTTCAGTCTTGGTTCCGGCTCTGTCTCGTGGCGGGCTACTCGCTCGTCCTCTGTTCTCGGCTCCAGTTGTGAGGCTGAGATCTACGCCGGGGCCATGGCTGCACAGGAGCTTCGCTGGCTCACCTACCTGCTGACTGACCTTGGAGAGCAGCCTCGTTCTCCTCCAGTGCTGTACGTAGACAACAAGGCCATGCTGGCCTTGTGTCGAGAGCAGCGCTTGGAGCACAGAACGAAGCACATTGCTCTCCGTTACTTTCTTGCTCGTGAGCTGCAGCAGCGTGGTCAGTTGCGACTTGCGTACGTGGCCTCTGAGGCCAACACTGCTGATGTGTTCACCAAGGCACTTGCGCCTTGTGACCATCAGCGCTTCTGCACTCAGTTGGGTCTTGTACCTGTCTTGCCTCACTTGCTCTCCTCTTGACCTTGCTTGTACTGTCACATATATATACCTGCTCTTGCTTGTCTAGCTCTATATATATATGTGTCCTCCTGCATGTGAACTGGCCTTGTGGCCTTGTCGTTGTGCTCGGACTGTGTGGTGACTTTGTGATCCACCCTGAGCTTGCTGTGCTTTGCGTGACTGGTCTTGTGACCCCTTGTTCTCCCCCACTTTGCCTATGGGGGTGTGTCAGAACATTATATAGCTTATGCTGTTGTGTAGGCTATAGTGGGGTATCCCATAGGGGGTACAACCCAATTAGGGTTTCCTATATGTACTCACTTCATTCATAGTTCACACATTCGCGTTCTCCTTTCCACAACCCGCCTGTAGAGACGGCCCACGAAAGAAAACCTATATGTTTCAATTCGTTCTATCTCTATAATTTCATATTGTTGTAACGGGTATATGTTGTATAGCCGTGTTCACCAGCTAAATGTTCGCTGCAGCGCCGTTCCTTTGTTAGTAGGGCTGTTCGTTAGGTCATTCCGCAACAAAATCCCTTCCAAGAGTCGACTACTAGCCAGAGAAATTGGAAGAAAACTGCTACTTGTGTCACCCAGCACAATTCGAGTTTCTCACAAACATACTTGTACATACAATGCTTAGCTGTTGTACGCATGTTTGGTATGCCAAATCCGGAAATCCTGACCACTTATATTGGTACCGGCCAGTTGCACCCGGTTTACAAGCCCCCGACCAAGTTGATCACGGAAGGCGGTTCGTCAATATGAGAACGTGTAAAACAAGACAAGCCCAGTCACCCAAACAATCGGTGTACATTAAATAATGCCAACCGACACTGTTCCGAAAATATTAAACGCACCACTCCTCGGGTTTTTTACAATCCATTTTGCGTGTTGGCAAAATAGACGAACGCTTGCGAAATGCAGTGCCCAATCCAGGCCCAAAATGTCGAGGGACCTTGTAAAACTGTAACGGACATCTGGTGCATGGGCATCAGTTCGACTGTGTTTGTTCGGCATCAGTCCTTGCTTCGTTTGACTAACGCGATTTTCGCAAAATCCAATCCCCCATACAGTCCTCTCGTGTGCATGCGCACTTTCTCGTGTACAGTGGAGTAGCTGTGAATCATTATTCTTTGCCAGCATGTCCATCAATGCCATTGCCGTGCTCTCTGCCCTTCCACACTGTGTTTACATTCGAACTTTCTATTTTGTTGGCAGCCATTACGTGCACAGGCACAATGTGAGGGAGTGTAACCAATCAACCCAATCAGTTTCAATACAGTAAGCCAGGAGCAGCCCTGCATCAGACTGACCGAAATTGGATGTGATATTTTTGGCTTTCCTGCCCGGCAGAAAGAGTGATGTACAGGTGACACGCAGCGGTTTGACAAAAGCATAGTTAACAGTGGGTTTTAGACGAGTGTGGGATGGGATGGGAACGTTTTACACAGCCGACGTTGGGAGGGACCGAGCATGACAAGTGAGAGGTGAGGAGAGGAGAGGAGAGGAGAGGAGAGGAGAGGAGAGGAGAGGAGAGGAGTGGAGAGGAGAGGAGAGGAGAGGAGAGGAGAGGAGAGGAGAGGAAGAGTCCACACCACACAAGACGATTGGTTTTCAGAAGACTGAGTACATTACACGGTGTACTGTTTTTAGCTACAGTAATTGTTGTCAGGTTGTCAAGAAAGCTGCTTTGAATTCCCTCCCTTCTCTTCCTCTCTTCTCCAAAATGTCCCTTCGTGCACGAGGTTGGCGGTGCCAGGTTGCAAAAATTTTGCCAGATCGTTCTGTAACCATTTCAACCGCATGAAAACAGTATTCAAACGCCGTTGACACTTCGAAATTGAGAGTGTTTCTGTTATTTCCCATCAGCTACGGGTTGTCACGGCTACAGTGGAACTCTCTAGTATGACTCGGCCGAGCCTTTATTTTCCTTCTGAGTGACCTAGTCAGCTGATTAGTCTGTTCCCGTTGAGAAATCACAGGGTCCAACGCATGGCTCCTATTATTTTCTCGGAAACTGCAGCTTGGCCTGCCAACCAGGGTGATTTTCCCGGCTCCATGGTTCTCATGGACGGTTTTAGTCATGGCGTGGACAAGTCCGCGAACGGCTGGAGCGGACGAGGTGTGGAAACCGGGGGATACCACGGCAGCATCGATAGAAAACACCATCCTGACGCTCGTTTTCCATCGTCGGACGAGCTCGTCAAGGCGGCTCAGTTGCACAGCAGCGATAATCACGGCGACCCGTTAGCTCAAATCGCACCTGGACTCAATTGTGCCACTCCGTTCCTCGAGGACGGAATGTTTGACGGATTGCTGACTGGTGACGCGACGATTCACGACCCGGCAGCATTGACGGATCCTGCGCTTCGATTCGCGGACGACTTCTTTCCATCGTCGGGATGCGATGGTATCAGAGATAACTCGTTCCAGCCTGATGTTTTTCATACTCCTGACCCTGCCGCGATGATTCGACTGACGAAAGGTAATGCCATGGCTTTCCGTGCTACGCTGCTTAACAATGTAGCGATTTCCTTGCATGGAGCCTTTATTTTCTTCTAGTCCCTTAATTTCTCGCCTTTTTTCTTCGTGTTCCTCATTCCAGGTATTCAGCAACCCCCAGCACCGGTCGAACCGAAGCACGAGGCTGAAATTCAGAAGCAGGGACGAAATAAAAAGACCCGTGCCGGCGCTCCCCTTGTTCCTGCTCCTGCTGCTGACGGTGCTGGTGCTGCTCCTGCTACTACTACTTCTGCTGCTGCTCCTTCTCCTGCTACTGCTGCTGCTGCATCGGTCGGATGGAATCTAGACCTCCTGAGCGCTCCTCTGAGCTCGAGTCTACGGAAGACCTCGTCCGATTCAGGTCATACGCACACCAAAGCGCCGACTCGCGCCTGTTTGAGCGACCTCCGTCATAATGGGATGAACGCTCCTGGCGGCGTCGGACGCGCTCTGGCGTCGCAAGGTGGCGGTTCGTCAGTGCCTGAAAGCGTTACGCGTCGTGTCGACATCCATCGCGCCTCGACCGATTTGGTAACGAATAGAAGTGGTGACGTTCGTGGCGCCGATGCCCTCTGCGCCGACGCGGATGCGAAATGGTCCGGCGAAGGAATTTCGCACGGGTCGCAGAGCGGCAGTTTTCCCTGTCGTTCTGTCGCTTCGTCGGTTTGCGAAAGCGGGACTCGCGGCGGAAACTCGGTTAGGTGTAAAAAATTCCCGCGTTGCCGATGCAGCGAAGCTTCGCGGCACGAAACGGCATCGCATTCTCTTCAGGGAGCCGCGTCGCAGAGCGTCGCCAGTGCGACGAAAGACCACTCTCAAGTTCGCGAAACAGTCGCGCTTGATTCTCTCCCAACCCGGTCTCAAGCTCTTACCCCAGCCGGGAGCAGCGACGGCACGGGGAGCAGCGGCAGCGCAAAGTGCGGTGAGGGGGAGCAGCAGCAGCAGGGTGGGAACGTTCTGAAGGACCAGCCGCCGAGAGTGGTGAAGCCGGTCGATCTAACGCAGCGTCTGGCGAGCGCGTGTCGAATGCAGGTGCAGAAATCGCGCGCGAAGAAGGCTGCGCTAGCCCAGGCGCACGCGCAACGACAGGCGCAAGTGCAAGCGCAAGAACAAGGGCAAGCGCAAGCCTTGGCGCAAGCGCGGAAGTTAGCCTCGCAGGTCCAAGGCCAGACGCCTCCCGCTCTGGCGGCGCAGCAGCAGCGGTTGCTGGAGCAGTCGTTGTCGCTGTCGCTGGTGCACCCGTTGGTGCCCCGTTCTAACGAGCAGCAGCCGCATCAGCAACTGCAACAGCAACAGCAGCTGCAGCAGCAACAGATGGTGTTACGGCGGCCATTGGCGCCGCAGATGGCGCAAGGGAACACGGGGAACGCGAGCGAGCTGGAGCGGCTGCTGCAGCGGATAGGCCAGGGTCCAGGGCAGGGCGACGGGCAGCAGTTGATAGAATACCTTCACCTGCTGCAGCAGCAGCAACAGCTGCAACAACAACTGCAACAGCAACAGCAGCAGCAGCTGCAGCTGCAGCAGGCGCAGCAGCCGCAGCAGCTGCAGCCACAGTACAGGAACGGACAGCAGCAGCAGCAGCAGCAGCAGCGAGGCGAGGCGGCGCAGCAGGAGGCGGTAAACAAGCGGCCGTTGGTGGACTCGGCGTTCCACCGCGAGTTCCAATTCGACAGCATGCCCGCCATGCGCGCCGCCGAAAGCCGCGCGCTCGAGCGCGCGCTTACCGCCGCTGACAGGGCCGCGGCTGCGCCAGTACCTTGCGCTGGTGTGCCACCCCGCGGAGCTGCGGAAGCAGCTGCGGAACCGGTCGGGGCAGCGCCGCCATTCCTGGCGGTTTCGGGGATGGCGGCGGACGCGGGGGGGATGGACGGGATGGTGGGGGTGACGGGGGGGACGGCGGGGTGGGCTCGCGCGACAGACGCGGACATGCTGTCGCAGCTGTTGGCGAATTCGCGAAAGCCTTTGGCGACGGACATGGACTTGGTGTCGCAGGTGCGGTTGCGGATGGACCCGGCGCTGCTGGCGTCTCTGGATGCCATGCGCGCGCACTCGCAGCACCACGCGCTGCAGCAGGCGCAGCAGGCGCAACAGGCGCAGCAGGCGCAACAGGCGCAGCAGGCGCAACAGGGGCAGCAGGGGCAGCAGGCGCAACAGGGGCAGCAGGGGCAGCAGGGGCAGCAGGGGTACCACGGGCAGCATGCACAGTTGATGCAGCAGGCACAGGCAGGCAGGGCCGGGGGTCAGCCGTCCGTAACGCTCACCCCAAAACTGCAGCAATACCTAGCTGCTGCCGGGAAGCTTCCTTTCCCGGACAAAAACCTCCCCATCTGGGAGGCCCTCCGGGCGGCATCCGCGCAACAAGTGCCGCCCGGTTTCTCCTCCGCTCCTGTTCCCACCCCCGCCACACCCATGCCACCCATGTCACCCCTCCCACGCATCACGGGCATTCCGCCGTCCCCCAGCATATTCGGGTGCACAGAGGACGTCCGCGCGGTGCACGCGGCCTCCGCGTCGGACGCGGAGCTGCGCGCGCGGCTGCTGCGCCTGGCGGAGGCGGTAGCCACGAGCGAGCAGGGCGAGATGGCGGCGCTGACGCGCGTGCTGCTCGCGGACGCCACCCCCCACGGCACGCCCATGCAGCGCGTGGTGCACTACCTGCTGGGCGCGCTGGGGAAACGCGCGTCTGGGAGCCTGGGGGAGGAGTATGTGGTTGAGCCGCTGCAAACTGCTGAGGTGAGTGGGCTCTTTAGAAAGCATGGGGTGGCATGGCGGGGGGAGGTGAGTGGGTTCACTCTGAGTCGGTTGACTCTAATAATCGCATCGGGGAGCCTGGGGGAGGAGTATGTGGTGGAGCCGCTGCAGACCGCCGAGGTGAGTGAGGTTTGTGCATGGCATGGGGTGGCATGGCATGGCATGGGTTCGTGGCTCCACTCCTTCATTTCTCTTTCTTTTCTCTCTTTCCCCGACTCACCCTCTCTCTTGCTCCCTCATTTTCCCGCTTCCTTCCTTCCCTCCTTTCGCTCCCTGCTCTCTACCTCCCCCTCTTTTCCTCTCCGCCTCTCTGTCGCCCACCCATTGCCATGTCCCAACCAGGAGGAGGCGCTGATCCTGGCGTTTGCATCGCGCAACCCGCTGATGCAGCACTGCTACACCACCATGGCGTGCGGCATCGTGGACGCATTAGAGCACGACGCCCTCGTGCACATCGTTGACTTCGCCATGTGGGGCGGCCAGTGGCCCATCGTCATCCGCCAGCTGGCGGCCTCCGCCGCCCGCCACCGCCGCGAGAGCTGCACCCACGGCTGCACCCACGGCGCTGCCGACGGCACCGGCGCCAGCAGCAGCAGCAGCGGCAGCCAGAGCAGCAGCAACAGCAACGGCGGCAGCAGCAGCGCATGCCCTACGTGCACGGGTCCTCTCCCTCTCCACATCCGCTACACCGCGGTCGAACCCCCTCCCGGCCACCCCTGGGGGGCAGGGCCGAAGATCCCCATCCCCTTCCTGCAGGCGGAGGTGAGCGGCGCAGCGGCAGAGTGCGGAGTGGCACTGACCTTCCACCGCGTGGAGGCGCGACCCGAGACGCTAAGGCCGCTGATGCTGGGGATAGAGCGCGGGGAGGCGGTGGTGGTGAACTGTGCGGGGCGGCTGGCCAACCTGGCGGATTCGACTGTGCTGCGCTCCAGCCCCAAAGACACTGCTCTCTCGGTACGCTTCCCCGCTCCCCTTCCCTTTTTCCCCTCTTCCTTTCTTCCCCACTCTGCTTGTTTGGCTGAACCGCTTCGGGGCTGTTGCTTTTCTCAACTTTCTGCTCCCCCTCCCCCCGACTCCCCTGCTGCAATCTTCCTCCCTCTCCATCTGCGGTTCCCACTCTTTCTTCTCCAGCTCCTCCAGTTGGCATTAAGCCATCTTCGTTCCTTGCAGCCGTACGCTCTTCTCAGTTCTCCCCCCTTCCACCAATCACACCCCCCCTGGTTTTCGACCACCCTCCCTCCTGACCAAACACCATTTGTAATGGAGTGGAACCGTAATGTCAACTTATTTTTCAACACCTCCTCTCTGTTTGTCCCGATGCCCATCCCTGCAGACCATCCTGCAACTGGCCCCCAAGGTGGTGACGATAGTGGAGTGGGACGCCAACCACCGGCAGCCCTTCTTCCTGCACCGCTTCCGCGACTGCCTCGACTTCTTCTCCAACGTCTTCCACTCCCACGAGCACCTCGCCTCGCGCGCCTCCTTTGGCCGCCGCGGCTTTGAGGACAGAGTGCTCGCGCGCGAGATGATCAACCTGGTGGCCTGCGAGGGGCTGCAGAGGCTGGTGCGGGCCGAAACGCTGGATCAGTTGCATGAGAGGATGCAGCGGATAGGGTTCGCCGCCAAGCCGTTTTCGCGGAGGAGTATGGCTGCGCTGGGGCAGATGCTTGCGCCGTATTCTAAGGGGTTTTCGGTGGTGAGTCATCCGTTGGGGGGCGTGCAGCTGCTGTGGCAGGGCAAGTCCATGCTTGGTGCGTCCTTCTGGCAGCCTGCGGTGGAAAGAGTGGAATTGGGTTCGAACAGGAGTTGTGCTGGTTATGCGAATGGATGTGCGAGTGCCTTGGGGTATACATGAAGCACGCTGTGAGTGAGGCACTCCAGAAGTAACTACTGATTGACGTGTGGTGTGATAATACGGTAGCTATGTGTAAACTGACTGGAATACAATGTTTTGAGGATTGAGCGTAGTAGTACAAGGGTTGTGTTTGGCTGAAACTGATTGCAGTATACACCGCCACGTGCTTGGAGGATTTGTCTAAAATACATTTTGTGCTGGTTTGCTGAAACAGATAGAAACCAAGTACGGTAAATGCAAGTATGGAGGAATGCCGTATAACCACTTGATGTTAGGGTGTGCAGCTGAGTGAGCAACTGGTTACGTGTAAACTAAATTCTCGGTTATAAAAGAAGATTGTCATTCTGTGTCAAATGTTATTATTGTGATAGGCTGCAGTGAGGTACTCCATAGAGAGTACAACTTTGTTAGGCTTCCTATTTGTATTGCCTCCCTACCCTAATCCAAGCATTCCGTTGCTGGTATCACGAGTAGGTTCGTTCTCAACCGTTCCTAGCCCGTTCCTAGCCTAGCGCACACCCGCGCCTCCGCGCCCTCCCCTAGTGCACCCTCCGCGCCCTCCGCCCGTGCACCCTCCGCGCCTGTGCGCCCTGCCCCTAGGCCGCGCGTAGCCCGTACGCCCTGTCCCAGCCCGTCGCGTCGCCCGTGCGCCCTGCCCCTAGGCCGCGCGTAGCCCGTACGCCCTGCCCCAGCCCGCCGCGTCGCCCGCGTGCGCCCTGCCCCTAGCCCGCGCGTAGCCCGTGCGCCCTGCCCCTAGCCCGCGCGTCGCCCGTGCGCCCTGCCCATCGCCCACGCGCGGCCCGTACGCCCTGCCCCTAGCCCACGCGTAGCCCGTGCGCCCTGCCCGTCGCTCAAGCGCAGCCCGTACGCCCTGCCCCTAGCCCGCGTGTAGCCCGTGCGCCCTGCCTGTAGCCCGCGCGCCCCTGATCCGCCCGCTCCGCGCGCCCTTACTCCGAACGCCCGTAGCCCGAGGCGCCCCGAGCCACACCTTCGTTTAGGGTTTCCTCGGATTTCCCCTCCCGTTTCGTTCGACACTCGCATCACTCCTACCCACAGTGTTTCGCACCGTCGCGGCTGGAGGCCGCTCCACCTAGCTGTTTTGGCTAGTACTGACGTTCGTTGTTAGCTAGGTCTCTCCTCGCTCTGCCAGCACCTCGAACGACTCTCTGGCTCGTCAGCCCTGCCTCCTCCAGCCGTCTGCTCCAAGCTCAGCTAGCTCCCAGCTCCATTCGTTACTAGACTGGCGTTCCTAGCTCAGCGTTCCTCCGTGCTCCGGCAATGCCTCGCCTAGTTTCACCTGGCGCTCCTCGCTCCTAGCTCCGCTTGCTCCGGGTTCCGGCCGCTCCTAGCCTAGCCTCCACTATGGAGTCCTCCCGCCGCCTTCATTTCGACGCGGAGGGCCGTCCGATAGAGTTCGGCACCTGGCTCCGCCAGACTCAGCGCTACCTCACCAGTCAGTGCCAGGATGGCGCCACCCTGTACGCCCACGCGTCCGGCGCCCTTCAGGCACCCCGGCGTTCTGAGCCCCTACCTGCCGAGCCCCCCCCCCCCGACTCCGGAGGCGCAGGCGGACTACGATCGTCTCGTCTTGGCGCGGGACGTTTGGGACTCCCGTGACGCTGCGGCTGCACTCGCGCTGATAGAGCTCCTTCCACCGACTGAGGCCGCTCACTTCGACCTGGTAGAGACTGCGAAGGAGGTTTATGAAGCTATTTCCGCACGGTATTCCACCCCTTCCTCTGCCTCCCTCGGCCGCATCCTCATGCCGTTCGTGTTTCCCGACCTCGGCTCGTTTACGACTGTCTCCGACCTAGCCACTCACTTGCGTTCCCTTGACGCTAGCTACCGTACAACCTGCACTGAGGCTCAGCTTCTTGTTGCTCCCCCTCCTATCTGGCTCACCGTCCACTGGGTAGTCACTCGTCTCCCTGACCGCCTCTCCACTGCCCGTGACGCGCTTCTCCAGCAGCACCTCAGTGAGCTTACGATTGATCTTCTCGAGACCACTCTTGGGAAGATCGAGAGTAACCTCCTCTCTGTTGCCTCGGCCACTGATGCAGTCGCTCCCCGTCTGTTTGAGGGGTGTGCTGTCCCCTAGCTTCCCACCTTCACTGCTACTCGTGCCTCTGCTGCTATATCGGTCTCTGAGGAAACTGCAGCTGATTCTGCCACTGACCGGCAGAAACGGGGCAAGGGTGGCAAGAAAGGGGGGAAGGGGGGTGGCGGCGGTGGAGGAGGTGGCGGTGGTGGAGGCGGCACTGGGGGCGGCAGTGGGGGCGGCGGCGGTGGTGCACCAGGCGGAGGGAGCCCTGGAGGAGGTGCTGGCCCACCTGCTGGAGGAGGTTCGACCAGCGGTGGTGCGGGGCCCCAGCAGCAGCAGCGACAGCAGCAGCAGCCACAGCAGAGACAGCAGCAGCAGCAGGGACAGCAGCAGTGGCAGGCACCACAACATTTTCAGTTTTGGGGACCCCCACTGCAGTGGGGTCCGCAGCAGCACTGGGGCCCTCCGCCACAGTGGGGACCTGGAGGACCTGGGGGCACTAGCCGCAGCAGCAGCACTACCAGCTGGGCCACGCGCCCCCCCCCCCCCCCCCCCGGCGCGACACCGGCCCCAGCGACCACTAGTGCGTCACCGGACCGGGCAGTCCCTGTGTCTGCGGCCGCGACAACCACTCTGCGGTGCGGTGCTTCCGCCGCCCCGACGACCTCTACCGTGCACGCTGGGGTCCTGAGGCGACCACCCCGTGCTGGGCTCGCCTGCTAGCCCGTAAGATTCCCGTATTTGAACTGTCTATGGACGATGCTCGTCAGTATGCTTTGTATGCTGATGTTGACTATAGTGCTGATGGATCTGTGTGCTCGCGTGTTCGTAGTCTAGGATGCTTGCCTCCTTTTAGTGTAGACCTGTGCCTCTCTATTCTAGGTGCTTGTGTTTCTGCTCTAGGTGCTTGTGTAGCCTCCGGACCTGGCACACCTCCGGCTGAAGCGTCCCTGTCTTTCACGCTGGACTCTGGCGCTTGTGCCTGTTAGTGTAGACTTGTGCCTCTCTGGCAGGGCCTCAGATGTTAGGAATTTTACCCTGAATTCCTGAAGTTTGACCCTTGTTTTTTATTGCGACCCTGATGGATCAGCCTTTTTTTTTTAGCGACCCTGATGGATCAGTGTTTTATTTTGTAGAACACTGAATTTTCAGTGTTTTGTGTTTGCAGACACTGACGAGTCAGTGTTGTATCGGGGTTGACCCTGAAACAGAAACTCCGTGTTTCTCGCATATTGGCGCGCCGTCATCATTCATGTACACCCTTTTTCTCGATAGACTGGCATATGTTATACTGACAGAGACGCTTAGTGTAGCCACACCGGACCAAAGAAGGTCCTATCACATGCTTTACAGTGACAATTTGACCCAGGGCGTTTAGTCAAGGTTTTCTACGTTCTACAATGGTACTGTTGTTTTCAAAGCGGTCGGGACGGTTATTCAACGTTGAATGCTTTTTAACGGCCCAAGGCGTATTTCAAACCCTCGTGCGACTTTGCCCGCAACCGACTTATCTCACCAGCCCGCTACGTCCAAACACTGTAGCCAGTGCTTCCGCCGGTGAGAGAGGTGAGAAAGAGGGTGTACCCAACGAGGATCGACGCCACCCTGCGGCTCAATTTTGGGCAGTGTTTGCGCAAAGGCGCTATTTGATTGGCTGTTCCAAGTGTTTCAATGCTTCGTTGACTCTGACTTCTGCCAACACTTGTCATTCTTGGCCTCGCTGCGCACAAATCCAGAGTGGACCAGTGGTGAATGGTGGCATCAGATCAGATTCACCACGCAAGGGCGTGGTTGTGCGGTTCGACCAGCCGACCCATGCCGCAGGGGGTCTCGTTCATTCATGCTCTCCACATCACGACCGGGCCTGCACCCCTTCTTTAATTATTCTATCAGTGTTTTTTGAAAAGGCACCCTGTGTGATCAGTGTTTTTTTTTTACTAACCCTGAAAAATCAGTGTTTCTAAGCAGGCAACACTGAAGATCAGTGTTACACCTCCAAGGGACCCTGAGTGCTCAGGGTACCCTTAAACGAATCTGAGGCCCTGCTCTCTGGTCTAGGTGCCTGTGTTTCTTCCGCGACCACACGACCCTCACACCACTCCTTGCTCCCGTTCCGGTAGCTCTGGCTGATCCTTCTTCAAGACCAGCCGTTGCGTGCAGCTCCACCACCCTCACGTGCCCTGTGGTCCCCTCTGGTGTCCTGCGCAGCCTCCACATCCCCTCGTTCACTCGGAACTTGGTGGGTGTTGGATACCTCCAGAACAGGGGGAGCACCGTTACCTTTGTGGGGGGTGGGAGGACTGCGGTCTGTACAGACGCTGCTACAGGTGCTGTTCTGGCCACGTTCACCAGGGAGCCCCGCTCCGGTCTCTACGTTCTCCACACCGAGCGCTCCCCGGTTGCTTCCTCCGCTCAGGTCGCTGCGTCCCCTCCGGTCCCAGTGTCTAGTCCGGTTGCTGTGTCTGGTCAGGTAGTGTTGACTGGTCAAGTTGCTGCGTCTTGCTCCTGTCGGTCCCTAGCCCACCCGACCGTCTTGTGGCACCACCGCCTTGGCCACCCGTCGCTCCCCCGCTCCGCAGCATGGCCAGTCACAGTCTTGTCTCAGGTCTCCCGCGCGTCTTTCCGTCGCTCCCTCCTTCGCTTGCTCCACCTTGCGCTCCTTGCGTCGCCGGCCGCCTGCGCGCCACTCCGCACTCCTCCTCCCTTCGTCCAGCCACTGCTCCCTTCCAGACTCTCCACTTGGACGTCTGGGGCCCTGCCCCTACGCTGGGACCTGAGAGGGAGCGCTACTTTCTAATGGTCGTTGACGACTACTCCAGGTACACCACGGTGTTTCCTCTTGCGAAGAGGTCCGAGGTGACTTCTACGCTCATCCGGTGGCTTCTAGCCACTGAGGGCACTCGTGGTAGTCGTGTCCGTTGTCTCCACTCCGACCGTGAGGGTGAGTTTCGCTCCGGCG